AGTAATTATACAAACAACTTTATTAGAATATAAAAAAAAGTATATTAAATAAAATTAAAGATGTTTTAAAAAAAAAAATAGACAAAAAAAATTTTTTTTTTAAATATTTTATTTCATTTAATTTGATTGGTTGACCCGACCTGATGTTGACCGTCGGGTCACAGGTTGACCTGACCTGATTCGGAGCTCTATACATGTATATAAGAAATTAATAAATTAAATTTTATAAATATAATATTAATTTTAATATTTTTATTTATTCATATAAAAAAATGTATTTATTATAATAATTAGCTTTGCTTTTAAATTTTTAAAATATAAAAATAATATTATAAAAGGAAACTCTTAAAATTTTTTCTGAATTAATGTTAAATTTAAAACAATTTATATTTAATATATAAAACAAAATTTTAATTTTTGTATTTCCTTTTCTATTATAAAGTTCTCAATGTTAAATATTTAAATTATTTTTTAAATTATAAATTAAAGTAAATATAAAACTATAATTTTAATATTATAATTGATAAGTTACAAGTTTTTTAGAAACCAATACCTTTATTATAAAAAAAAAAATGAAATTTGAATTTAAAAATAAAACTAATTAAATATATATAATTTATTATATTAAATTAAAAAATTTTTATTACTTTATTTGTATTTTGATAAATATTTTAATACCAATATCAATAATAACCTTTAAATTATATTATTACTTTATTTGATGCTGGATGAGAAGCCTAAAAGCGTAGAAGGGTATCCCATTTTTTTCTTTCCATTTTTTTTCATATTTTCTAGCTTGTTATAAAAGTAAAACCTTTGTTAATAGTTGATTTTAGATAAGGTTTAATATATAGGAAAAAGTGTCCAACAGCTGTCCAAAAACTGTCCAAATTATCCAAAATTGTTCAATTACTCAACACTGTCCTAAATGCATATCCCTTGGTATATCCTACATGCATACACCTCTATAAATCAGCCTTGAGAAAAAAAGTATTTTCTCTCCGAATGCATACTCATATCGGGATCATTAATAACTACGAATCTAGTGTTTAAATCTCTTTTTATTAAAAAAGAATATAATCCAAATTTTTATTCTTTTGATTTACTTATAGAAAAGATAGTAACAAATCCAACTACAATAATGGCGCTCCAACCTTTCCAAATATTAAAGCATTGTCCTTCGTCAATATGACAAAACATAAAATGACTTAAACCAAATACAACAATAGCTCTTAATGAATTTAATATCCCGGTAGAGACGTTACCAAGTTCTTTCATCAACCAATAATAAGCCAGATTATGAATGAATGATGCGAACACTAGTAACAAATACATTAAAATTATAATAAATGTACTTGAATGAGGTATTTTCTTTTCCATTTCTTCCGTTATTAATGTATTCCAATTTGGAATTGTATATAATATAATATAGATGAATGATATAATTGTACTATTTGTTCCTACTAAAAAACATACTTTTTCTGGTGATGGAGGACGTGTGTCCGGTGTACAAGCAGATAGAATTCGATCTGATACTACGTAAACGCATGCATATCCAAACGTTGAAAATGATGTTAAAATCATCCCAAACATCATGGATGATATATGATGTGATGGATCTGATGATGGTTCTGATGATGAACTTTGATTTATTCCAAATGCGCTAAGTGCAAGCCCGACCGATACGCCCACAATGGATACTGATTGCAATAAAGAGAGTTTTCGTCCGAGTAAAAAGAAGGAAAGAATAGCGCACCAAATAACAACTGAACTGTATATTACTTGGTACATCTATTATACCATAAAGTTTTAAGTAAATTTAATTTATAATGATAATCTTTTTTTTTCTTTATCCTTTTTTAACTTACCCCACTTCCTACATAGAAAAATCCAATAGTTAAAGCGAAATTGGCAATAACATCTAAGAAAGAGGCAGCAATGATCATTTTATAATTAACGACTTCTTTTGGTGCTGATTTCACATTATTAACATTTTGTGTCAAAATGGAACCGTCCGTATCCGTGTAATTATCTTCCTCGGCTTCTTCTGGTAATAATTGGTAATCCTTTCTCGTTGCCGTTGCCGTTGCCTATGTCAAAAAGAATAGTAGATCGAACAAATAATTTGTGGTCACATTTTTTGTCCTGAAAATTTAATTGATTTTCCTTTTTTAAAAAAGAAAAAGGAAATAAAATAATAGGAAAAAAACCACTTAAGAATTAATCAAATATATATTAATTTATTATATATTAAGAACACCGACATGGCTAACAACTACCATGTTAACTTCCAATTCTTCCACATTATCATTAGTAGAACTTCTCTTCCTTAACCACTCTGGCAATAGAAAAAACCCAACTGCCGCCATGCCTATATACATTGCTGTATTAGTAAGCAGGCTAAATTATGTTCGTTTATAAATCAAAAGAATTTGTTATTAATTTATACAATCAATATTTCAACTTCTACCAAACGAAATTACCTCAGTCCGGCTAAAAATTAATAAATATTTTTAAAAAAAAGGCCTTTATGAAAGTTTACTTTTCAAGATAAAAGAAAAAAAACATATTTACTTACTTGCAGCACCTTGATAATACAAAAACTGTTGCCCGAGAGTTTGAAAAAAACCAGAAAAAAGAAACAAAGCTTCATAGAAAATAATAGATACTATTGATGGCCTTGTTGGTTTCAACATTTTACTGAAATATATGCTATAATAATAAAGAGGAGAGAAAGTTTTCTTTTCAAATCTATATAAATTTTACAGCGTAAACTTCGGATTCAACCGAATAAAAGAGTGAAAAAAGGTTGTTCGCTCAACGAAAATCATAAATCCTTTTTTAATGAAAAGAATTGATACTAATTGAATTTGTGGTCTCACAATCACAATCACGTGAATGCTATTTAATGATATGGTGAGAGTGCACGTTTCGGTATTAGAGCTACATAAGGAGTTTATAATAGATCTTAGATAAGTCGTGACTGACGAGAAAACCAAAATTTTTCACTCTAATAATTCTACATGTAAATATTATAATTTGCCTTTTTTTTATTCAGTAATTCTTTTTTGCAATATATCACTTTTTAACTCATTCTTTTTTGCTTTTTTATATTTTAAAAGATTTCTTTTTCTTTTTTTTTGTTTTTAATAGTATAATATTTTAAAAAGATGCAATTATTCTTTTCTCGTCAAAAACCAAAAACTGATGCTAAAAGTGCTATAGTTCGTCTTAGAGAAACTTTGGATATGTTGGGAAAACGGGAGAGTCATTTGCAATCCAAGATTGATGCCGAACTTAAAAATGCTAAATCGAATGCGGCTACTAATAAAAGAGGTGTGTATTAATTCAAATTATTTATAACGTTGTTTACATGAGAAATTTCTTTTCAGATTTATTATTATTACGTGGAAATCGTCGCGTATTGCATGACTTTTTCTTAAAGTTTAAGTTTTGTATTTGATATATATTTTAAATCTAATCGAAAAGAAATGTTAAAAACTATTTATTTTTTAGTGTTACTGAGAAAATGACTTTTTTATTTATTGTTTTTAGCTGCTTTGATGGCACTTAAACGAAAAAAACAATATGAAAATCAGATCGAAAAGATATCCGGATCACGTATTACAATTGAAGCACAAGTTATGGCAATTGAAAATGCAAATGTCAATTTGGAAACTATTAAAGCTATGGAAAAAGGTGCCGAAGCAATGAAAGCGATACACAATAATATGTATATTATTTATAGATTGTATTTTCAAAAAAAATAAAAAATTGTTTTATCATTGAAATTGAAATTATTTTTAATTATTATTATTATTATTATTATTATTATTATTAGGGATATGAATAAAGTGGATGATACAATGGACTCTATACGCGAACAAATCGATTTGGCGGATGAAATTTCAAATGCTATTTCTGCACCAATGATCGGAATCGATCTGGACGATGTATGCATTTGTCTTGTTTGAATAACTTATTATCAGATCAAAGGTGTTATTCATCTATTTATTATTGTTGTCGTTGTATTTGTTTAGGATGAACTGACGGCGGAATTAGAAGAATTAGAACAAGAAGTTCTTGATAGTCAGTTGCTTGGAGCAGACACTCCACCTGTTACTGTCCCCAACGTGCCAACGACCGAGCCCAGTATGAAATTCATTTTTCATTTTAACAAATATCTTTTTTTATAATATAAACAATTAACATTGGCTTGATCATTTAATTTTCAATAGCAACCAAAAGGAAAATTATTGAAGATCAAGATGAAGACGAAGAACTGGCAGAATTACGTGCAACCATGGCATTGTAATTTAGCAATCGATGATTTAATATTATTATTATTAGGTTTTTAAAAAGCAAATTTTAAGAATAGTCTGTTATTATTATTATTTTATTTTTAATTAACCCTTTTGTTTCTTCTTTGTATCATTTATTTTACATTGCAATTTTATTTCCTCTTTATATATTTAGAGTATTTAGAGTGGATCAAAATGGTTGCAGAGGTAAAAACAATTGCATTGCCTAAACAACGGATACAAGTTAGAATTAAGAACACCAGATATCAAAATTCATATAAATTAAAAGTCTTAATAAATAAAAAAAAAACAATCAATATAATTATTTAACTGCATAAATTTCTTGAATTATGCCAAATAATTTCTTTAATTTACTTTCTAAAAAATCCTAAAACACAGAGATTATAATGAAATAATTCTTCTATCCTGTTCCATTCTTTTTTATGTTCGTCTAATATAGAACTTAAATGATTAAGAAGTTGTTCATTATGATTATTTGATAAAATAATATCTCCATAAATTTTTAAAAAATGGTTTAAATAAGCTTGTGCTAATTCAAAATCTTTTTTTGTTTTAAGTTTAAATTCAATTGCTTCTAAAAAATAATTTAATTCTATTAAATTATTTTCGAGACTTAATGATCTTAATTCAAAATCAATTGCTGAAGGATTTAAAGTTTTTACAAAATTAAAAAATTCTGTGTCTATAAAAAGGAAAGAAATATTAATATATAATATTATTAACAAGGACAAGTTGAATATTCACTCACAATTTCCTTCTTCATGATTCTTTTTTAAAATTTTCAAAAATTCGGTTTCCATTTTAATATCAGACATTTGTAAAACATTTCCAGATTTTTTCTTATTTTTAGACTCATTTAAATCATTTAATGGTATAAATTTAGGTTTAACACCAGGTAATGTGGGTAAGAAAAAGGGCGCTTTCTTATCTGCTTTAGGAGGTTCCTTAGGTTTATTTCTTTTCTATTATCATAAAGTATAAATTAGAATTATTTAAATAATAAAATAATTAAACATAAAATTACAAATACCTTAATAGTCTCCAGGTTTAACAAATTCTGCCATTTGGATTTTGGTAGTAATGATAATGTTATCATTTGTTCAGTGAGTTGTTCCACGGATTCAAACGACTTATCATTCTTCTTATCCCCATCTATTTCATCCAAAAAATCTAAAATAAAATCAATTCAATTTAATGGTCTATTAAATAACTTTAATTTCAAAGTAGAGTATAAAAATTATACCTTCGTCACTTTCCAATCCGGTAGTGGTTGGAAGTGTTATTGTAGATATTTCATCATCCTCGGAAATGTTTCGTAAAGAAATATTAGAGAATTGGGTACGATTTGCCCTACGATAATTCAAATGAAATTTTTTTTGATTCGGCATTATGTGTCATATCATTTATTATTTTATATTCTTTAATTCCCTTACCATAAGAACATTCCAACATTATCAACATGTGAAGTGGCCAAAAAATCCCCAGTTGGGGAAAATGTCACACTTGTGGCGATATCATCTACTCGAAAAATATCAATTAAATGACCTGTTGGAAGATCCCAAGTACGAATCGTGGCATCAAGAGATGTAGATACAATCCACCTTCCATCAGGACTAAACGTCTATTGTATAAAATAAATAATATTTTAATTTTTATAATCAATGATTCTTACTAACAATCATTCGTGTAAAAACCTACCAAATCAGTAATCCTGTTCCGATGACCCCAAAATTCCCTCACGATTTTACGAGTTTCCACGTCAATAACACGTATACATAAATCATCATTAATTATCGCTAATAAATCATTATTACAATGAAATAGCATGGCAGTGATAGGTGACATGATATCAATAGTATGCAATACTTTTGCTTTATTGAAATCCCATATCTAAAAAAATATATATCTTAATGGTTTATAAATTAAATTTTTTTAAAAAAAAATATATAAATTAATTAAATACCTTAACAGTGCCATCGAGAGAACTGCTAATTAATATTCGATTAAGTAAATCACTTGCTAATCCAGATATAGATTTGTTATGTCCTTTATTATTATGAAAGGCTATTTAATTAATATGGAATCCAATAACTTATGAATGAAATTAATAAACAAATTTTATATTAATACCATCACAATCAGCAAAAGTTTTTCTATGTAACCCAGATTGCATATTAAACATTTCAATTACACCAGATGAAGTTCCAATGAATCCAAAATTTCCGCATGCACTTATATTTGTTGCCTATATTGATAACAAATGAATTTTGCAATACATAATTTTGTTAAAAATCAAAAAATTACTTTTCAACTATGCCAACCTTAATCGATGCCCCATCGTGAATTTTAAAAATATGTTGCCCTAGGGCTCTTCTCTGAAATGACCATGTTCGAGCTCTCGAATCATTAATATGACATGTAAGGATATTATCCCATTCTTTCTGTTTAGATTCAGCTAAAATATAATTTTAATTAAAAAGCAATAACAATGAAATAATAAATTCAATCATCAAAATTACAATATCTCCGCCGCGTAAATAAACTCACATGATGAGAAATTTATGATCTGCGGAAATTTGAGCTCATCAACATGTTTTCTAGAACGTTTGGATTGTCTTATAATGGAACCTAAAAATCAAAATATCATTTAATGATGAATAATGTATTGCACGGTACAAGAAGTATTATAAAACATTATTTGGCAAAACCTTGTGATAATTCCACACTCTGAGAATCGCGAATTATTGAAAATATTCTAAGCGATCTATCTCCTGCTGCACTAAGAATGAAATGTCCGGAAGATCCATAATATTCGATCTTTGTTGGCGGTGAATGATGCCCACTTCTTGATTTTAAAATACGATGTTCAAACCCATTTTGACCCTCAAAAATCCATTCCTAAGAAAACATGATAAAATTTAAATTTATTATATAATATACATATATATGTATGTATATATACCTTGATTGAATTATCAGCGCCGGACGTTATTAATATAGGTTGCCCATTGAGAAATTGTACAGAAGGAATTAATCCATCGTGTGCACCTTTTATAACATCATATAATTTCTGATTATCAAGATCCCATAGTGTAATGTCACCATGCATATTAGCAGAAACCATAATGTGCTTATCATCTGAAGAAACAAAAGAACATATGATTTAGTTAAAAAATTTTAATGATAACATGTAATGTGAATTCATTCTTAGTAAACACCTGTTCTGAACGAAATTGAAGTTACACTTCCTTCTTGCTTCAATGATATTATATTTTCATCCAATTTAATATTGTACAAAATTATTGTTCCATTAAGTAAACCAATAGCAATAACATCCACAACAGGAGATTGTGTAAGGAAAGTGATTGCGGATCCAAATGAGGGAAATGAATATTTCACTTTCCTATCATGGAAGAAATATAAACATAAGTAAAGAAATATATAAAATTAATTAAATATTACAATATAATTACTTTGTACGAATATTCCAAATTTGCATTATTCCCTGTTTACTACCAAGTAATATTTTATTTAAATAAGTGCTTGGATGAACGATTGTTGATAAAGTGAAATTATCATCAAATTGAATTTCATCATAGAGCTCTAAAGAATTAAGAATCCATTTTAAAAGAAAAATTCCTTCTTTTATCCTCAAGAAAAAAATTAAATAAATATAAACCTCCAGAAACATGATCCCAGATAGTAAGTAAGTTATCATCGCTTAAAGCAATAACATAATTACTAAAAATTGTGAGTTCAAAAATATGTCCTTTTATGTTTCCAATATATCTAGTAAACTAAAAAAAAAATTCATTCAAATATTTCGTAAAAAATAAGTTCTCTTTAAAAAATATATTTAAGTTTAATTCACCTCTTTACCACGATGATAAACAATAAGCTCCTTCCCACATGCAACAAAAGTATTTTCATTTAATGAAGCTAAAGCCGTAATAGGATTGCTTGTTTGAGAACCTTTGATGATCAATAATAAAATAATATAAATTAGAGGACCTATTGCAAATTATAAACTTGCATGAAATATCTTTGTATCATACCTACAGTTATCAAATTTAGCTTTTCACACTTTAAACATATGAATATAATAATAATAAAAGTAATAATTTGTTAATAAATTTTCTTATTTATTAAAAAAAAAAACGTATCAAAAATGATCGCATGTTCTAACGTACATCATATACATGAAAACTGTTACCGACGCAAGTTGTAAGGTAGTATACTTCTCCTTTTTTCTGAATGTCAAAAGGTATATAATTTGTAACATATCCAATTGCACGAAAAGGTTGAAAAATTTGAGTTTTATGTTTTGATGATTGAAATTCTTCGGTTACTTTATTTTTTTCTAATTTGAGTTTCTTGAACATTTTTTTAAAAATAATAAATAGATTTCAAAAAAAAATTGATATTTTTTTTTTCACGATTATCTAAATTTTTTGCTGATCCTACGCCACACTTCATGTGACAGAAATAGTGTAACATATACAATATGTCATTTTGTTATTTTATTTAGGAAAAAAGTCAGTTATCTACGCATGCTGCATATAGATAGATATCATATAAAATTTTCTCTTTAAATGCATACTTCTTTAATGCACATGTTTTCAAATTTTTCATTATGGTCCTGGGGTGCTTTTTGAGAGGGTTGATATTATTCGTTTTTTCATAAAACTACCAAACATGATGAAAGCCTGTTACCTTTAAAATTGTTGGCGGTCACCTAAACTCATGAAGTATTTATTTTACTTTGAATGCCGTTTAGCAGAAGCAATCTAATCTGCTGACAACGATTCGTTGTAAGATTTGTTGAGCAACGAATGTAAAGTCGATATGTTAATGTTTGTATATCTTCATCATTTAGGGTGCGGCAAAACGGAAGAATTCAATACTTACGAAAAAAAGGTTATCTTTTTAAAATGAAAAGTATTGTAATCATTTATTCCATATAATTACAATCTTTATGCAAACCCTTACCTTTGAGATTGTGACAGCAGAAAGTTTGGTCAAAAGCTGCCCGATCTGCTGTCAGCAGTTCATTGTAAGTCGCCATACTTAAAACCCAAATCATGAGGAAATTTACATTGAATTGTTGTTATATATGCCGTTTAGTGGTTGGTAAAGGGCGCTTGAAGCCAGGTATCAGAAGCTATCTGACATGCTCATTGCAAGGATTGTCCGAGCGAGCTACGAATTTAAAATCAAAACATTCCTTAATCTGGTTGACGTGCTAACTTCAGTCAGAACTCGATATAACGAATTCTCTGTTTACTATGAATATTTTTTAAAAAAAATCGATTTATCATCATTTATAAGTTCATATAACGATTTTTATATGTTCAAATATAAAGAAAACAATCGTTTTAACGAGATTTTATTAAGTGATCGTTATATCGAGTTCTGAGTGTATTGTCGTTTCAAGATGAAAAAACAAATCATGCACAGTAGTTTATCAATTCTGAATTGATAGAAATTGAATTTCACGACTCTGGATACAAGATTTGTAAATCAAATATTATTATTAAATTATTTCAAAAAATATGCATTTGGTGTACATACACAAAAATATGATTTCATTTTACTAATTGGATCAATACGTGAAAAGTCTCTTTATTTTAGCGATATATAAGCTAAAATCCCGCTTTAAAGTTTGCAATTTCTAAATTGAACAACTTGTATCGTATCGCATCTTATATAATATGGAACAATTTAACTAATTACGCGTTATAATAATAGCTACTCATTAATTTATATTACATTTTCTGTTAAACTTTATTTTAACGTGAATAACAAAAAAAAAAAAAATTTTTTTTTTCATTGTCGTAATCTAATATTAATGTATAAAAAGTTAAAATTTTTTTTTTTGATCGATTGTCTTTTGGGTTGTATTTGTAAATAATAAATAATAATAATAATAATGCCTAAATGCTTATTTTACGGACAAATTTATCAAATATTTAATATCTGTTGGTAGCCATATCACCACGAACTCTATTATAATCTGGAAGTCCTTCAACTACAATAAACAAGAATTTATAATAATAAATAAATAAATAAATAAGATTTAAAAAAATAAATATAAAAATAATATTAAACAAACCTGGACCGATTCCAACTACAGCAACATCTTGGTCCCACAGATATTCTCCGGCTACTCTACGTACATCATCAACAGTAACCTTGGATACGATAGCTTCAACCTCTTGAGGACTACGTCTTTTACCTGTTGTTATTAATTGACGTCCGACATCTTCAGCAATTGCTGTTGTGCCATCAAGATTCAATAAAAGCGAAGCTTTGAGCTGTTGTTTAGCTCGTTCAACTTCAGCTTCCGTGACTGATGTGTGCAATCTTAAAAAAAAAGAGGAAAAAAAAAAGAAATGACAACTTAATAATCAATTTTTTACACATTAAAAGAAATTTTTTTTTTTAAAAAAAAAAATTATATGATGTTTACCTCCAAAGTTCTTTGCAAGTAAAATGTACCAAATCATCTAAATTATCTCTATTTTCTGTTATAAGATAAATGCCAAATAATCCAGTATCACTATAACTTGTATTAAAAGCTTGGAAAGAATTTGCAAGGTGATTTTGATGAATAATATGAGAAAGACGAGAAGATGAATGTCGAGCGGAACCAAGAGATCTATCCCAAGTTCCAATTACAGCTTGTGCAACTAACATAGGATAATAATCTGGTGAAGTCCATCCAACACTTTCAACTGCGAGGGTTATATGAGCTTGAGGTAATTCATCATTTCTTACTCTAACTTCTGATCCTGTAAATGGAGGTTTTACACCACGAGTACTACCAAGTGCTAAAGGATTTGATGAAACTGGCAAAGAGGAAAAATGTTTTTCGGCTAATTTTACAAGTTCTTCATGATCAATACCACCGGTTCCCACCAAAACCATGCGATCTGCTGTATAATTATTACTAATATAATCTGCAAGATCCTTACGATTAAGAGAAAGGATATTTTCTTTTGGTCCAAGAATAGTGCGACCCAATGAATGACCTAAATTGTATAAAGGCAGCTGTTAAATAAATATGTTGAATTTTATAATTAAATAGATATAGAAAAATCTTCTAACTTGATTTTAACCTTGGAATGCGGTTGCATGCAAATGATCAAAAACCACTTCATCGAGTAATTTATTAACTTCTTCCTGTTCCCTTAAAATGACTTCACGTTCACGTTCAATAGCGTGGTCTTCCAATGTAGAATTTTGCAATATATCAGATAAAATTTCAACAGCTATCTTAGCATCATTTTTAAAAGTTTTAGCATAATATACTGTTTGTTCACGAGAAGTGTAAGCATTCAAATGTGCTCCAATATTTTCAATAAATAGTTCCATTTGATGCTGAGAACGAGATTTCGTTCCCTTGAAAAAAAAATTTTTTTTTATAATAAATAAAAAATATATTATTAATGAATTCAAAAATAATTTATTTATTTGATAAATCTACCTTAAATGCCATATGCTCCAAAAAATGAGCAGCTCCGTTATTTTTTACGTTTTCAGCTCTACTTCCAGCGCTAATCCATACCCCCACAGTTGCTGTCTGTGCAAACGCATTAGCTTCAGTCGCAACCGTCAAGCCATTTGAAAGTACCGTAGAACGTGTTAATGGCTGAGGAAAAGATGTTTCAGAAGCAAAAGAGCGGGTAAACTACAAATTTATCCAATAAGATGCATAAATATATTAAATAATGAACTCGCTATGACCCTTTAAAAAGTTCTTAAGGTATAAGTCTCAATACCTTTCTCGTCAGCCCACGACCAAACTGACGTCTTAATGCGTTTGAAAGCATGAACCGAGACGCCATTTGCTAATTCCTTGAGAAATCCTTTTAAAATAACGTAAGCAAATCGCAAAGCCACCTACTGCGATCAAAAAAATCTCGAAATCTTTTTTTCGAGAATCATGTGACTTTTTAATTATTGCTAAAATTCTATTGGCTGATAAAGTCACATGTTTTAATATTGGCATTGAAGATTTTTCTTTTATCAAATGCATAATTAGAGAAATATAGTTATGAAGTATATACAAAAAACATAAATAATTCTATAAATGAATAATAAAAATCAATTTTATAAAATTTTCTTTATTTTATTTAGTGTTAAATCAATATTAGTATTATCACTAGATTCAGTAATACCTACATTCTTAACTTTAATTATTTTAACAAAAGATTCAAAGTTGTCTGAAATGCCTTACAATTATTTTCAATTCCATTTATACATCACAAAAAATTTTTAAGTATAAACTTTCGTAAGATTTATTATGTAACTATTGTAATCTTTTGTAATCTTACATAACCCTTCACAATTTTGAACTGTAAATATTACATAAGTCTATGTTTAAATGTAAACCTTTGTAATACTACAGTTTAAAAACCTTTATGAGACTTGTAAACCTTTGTAAATCTTTACAATACTACAATGTAAACTTTGCAATCTTTATACTTTTTAGTATAAATATTACATAAATTTATATTTAAAAATTTTTTTGATGTAAGATAATCAGTATAATATTGATATTGACTTTCTAATTTAAATAAAAAATATTTAAATGATAACTATAATCACAAATCAAAATATAATTTATTTCATATGAATTTATATAATCTTTTAAATAATAATGTTTATCTTCTCAAAGGAAAGAGGAAATATGCTGTATTTCAAGCTATTAGTAGAATCTGTAATATCAATTTAGCTTCTAATATTAGAAGTTCATATAATTTGAATTTAAATGAAATAACCTTTAATTTGTCAAGAGTATGATTATGCTCCTGTAAAGAAATTTAATAAAAAAAGTAAACTGCCTTTTCAAGATATTCTAACTGATTTGCTGAATATCTAATATTATAATTTTCAGAAAATATATTCATAAAGAATTATTATTACATATCTGATTGACAATTTGCATTTATTAAATAATCTGTTTTATTGTGTTTGATTTTTATATTTGCTGTCAGAAAAAATTATGAAAATTTTCTACATAATAATTATTAAAAATAAGAAAAGCACCTAAAAGAACTTGTAAATTAGAATTATTAGTATTAATTTAATAAAAAACATCACTTAAAAATACTAATGATAACTTTTTATAATATTGTTACACTAAAAATCATTAGTATGATCTTCCTAATGTAGATCCTTAGAAAACTATGTTAACTTTGTTAACTTCGTTTACGTCGTCTAGCTCGTTTACA